GAATTCTGCAATTGCCGATTGATACTTAGAGAAATTTAACCGCTAAAACAAATGATATTCGAGTAACTTAAAGTCTATACTTCAATTTGAAAAGAGAATGTCTGATATGCCAATTAGTTTGCGAGATAAAAGTCTGTAAGCGCAACTACTTTTCGTGAAATTCAAGGACTTCTATTTTCTTATACAGTTCGGATTCAATAATCTAATGAATGATATCATCTTGACCAAAATTCCTGACATCGAGCTCAAAAGGCGTAGTATGATCCTTACTTGTAATGTTTTCCAGAACTGATATTCTTTTAATGTTCTCATCTTTTTAGCTTGATGCAACATTTGCGGCAATGTGTCTTTGGTTTTGGATGGCATACAATGTGAGTGTAAAATTGTTTGTCGTTAAATGTCTTACTTATTCTGGGTTTGTCATGTAATTTTTTTCAGATATACTGCTGGTTAGTTGTTTTCTCAATGTACAAACTATTCGAAGATCTGCAGTCTCCAAATATAGAGCTTCTTTGGCCTTAATTAACCATTAAGAATAAACTGTAAAGCTGTCGAGTACATTGATCGGCACCAAAGTAAAACACAATATCTCTAGAAGATCTTTTAGAAGATCTTTAATACCTTTTGATCTGTACATTTCCTTTGGAAGAAAATTTACTCACGAAAGATATTATTAGGTATAGTCATCGAGCTATATAAAATAACTGGAGTGTGAACAGAGATAGAGGGGTGCGCGAAGACAAAGAATCGTATCAAGAATGCTTTCTCTTTCTACGCCAAATTTTTTTTAGTATTGTCTCTTCAAAAATGTTTGAAAAGTCTTATTGACTCTCACAAAATTTATTTTTAGTAATTTATTTATGTTACAAATAAAAATAAGCTTTTTATTTTTATGCATTTATTTTGCAATTAGACGTTTCACATATTTTAATGTATGTAATACAAACTATAGTTATCATTTTAATATTTTTTCTGACTCTACAATCAGTGAAACGGATGGGTTTGATGATACGTAGCAAGATTAGCAATATTTGGTTAAAAATGATTAAGTTTTGGCCTTAAATCGCCTCAGAATTTCACATTGAACTTATTGACTGTCAATCGACCCCTTAACCCGGGTCGGCCCCCAATTCCAATAACCCCCAGATGGTCGATATAAAAAAAAAAAAATAGTATACCTCATTTTTGGTCTCGTTTCTTGGAGCTATTTTTCTTACGGTTTTTGACAGCTGTTCGCGCTTGAGATATTTATATAACTCTACACGTATAGC